CCGAGCGCGCACTCACGGCCGCTCTCCCTCCTCGCTCCGCAGCCGCGGCCCATGGAGCCCGCCGGCCCGGCCCCCGGCCGCCTCGGGCCGCTGCTCTGCCTGCTGCTCGCCGCGTCCTGCGCCCGGACAGGTAAGCACCCCCCACCCCCACCGCTGCCATCCCCAAACTGCGGGCTCAGGCCTCTCAGACCGCCACTGGGAGCCGCTCGGCTATGTAGAGCAGTAATAGGGGGAAAAAATGCCTGTAATCAGGGTTACAGATGCGGAAACTGAGGCCCAGAGAGGGCCAGCGACTTGCCCAAGGTCACACAGCCAAGGATAAAACCCAGTCTCTCTGGACTCTGACTGTGCGGTACTGTGCCAGGCACTGGGACATACCCAGATGAGTTGATTCACCCGGCCCCTGCCAATCTGATGGGAGAGGCAGGCTGTCAGCTGCTTTCAGAGCCAGGAGCCCTGGCTTCTCTAGAAGCTCTTTCTCTGGACCTGTGTTTTCCACACGTTTGACTTCAGGGTCAGAGAGAGGGAGTGGGGCAGAGGTCTGGCTCTGCCTGGGATGGAACAGAAACAGGCTGTTGCAATTAGGGAAGAGTGAGCTCTCTCTCTCTGGTGCGCAGAGTAAAACAGTGTTAGCCTGTGTATAGGGGAGAAAGCGAGGAAGGGAGGCCCGGTAACCCTGGGGTGAGCTGCTGCGAGCAGCAGATCCTGATGTGAAAACACAGTGGATTGTCCCTGTGGTTACCAAAGCCTCTGGCTGGATGGTCTTGCTTCTTGCGGCTCTCCTGGCCCCCCCACTTCCTCCTGCCTTCCCCAGCCTTCCAGGCAGCTCCCTGCAGTTCAGGTGCTCTGTGGGGCTGTTACCTGTGGCTCTGAACGTGGCTTTTCGTTGGCCTACATCAAACACCTGGCTGTCTCCAGCAGGCGGGCTCTGAAGGCTACCGTATGTGTTCGCCAAGGGGTGAGGTCACCGTTCAGGAGTACTGCTTCTTAAAGGGATTTTGCAAAACCACGGTCTCCTGGGAGGGCGTGGGGGGCAGAGAAACGTCGTTCAAGAGTTGGGGTGGAGAAGAAGAATGGGGATGTTGTTTTTTGAAGCTGTGCTGCCAGCAGAGGGGTCTCTGCACCTCCCTCCCTTGAGGAGGGAGGTAAAGATGAGCTCAGTATCCTCCCCCCTTTCTGCATTTGCCTAGAGACTGGTAACCATCTGATAGCACGGAGAAAGGGAGAGCTAGCAAAGAGTGGGTGGAGGGAGAAGTGGGGGTGGACAGCAGCTTCTCTGCCCTGCAGTTTCCCCCGAACCTCGGACCTCGGGAATCCACGTAGGCATCCCCCCCACCCCCCGGGGCTTTCAGTGACAGTTGGGTTCTTGCTGGGCTGGGTGGAAGTAAGCACTGATATATTTCATGTCTCTCTGGTGAGTGGCATCTCTGATCTGCTCCTTCCTGCCTGAGCCGGCCATTTACACCCTGCAAAGCCCAGTTCCTGCCCTGCCATCCTCCTGGCCTGCAAACGCACCAGCGTCTCTCAGAAGTGCTTAATTTTCCTGAAGCGGGGAACTGGGCCCAAGTTAATTTCTAAATGTCTATTCCAGACCCTTCTCCACCCAGGACCCTCTGGTTCAGTCCCTGGCAAATGAGCTATGACGCTGATTAACAAGTGTTCAGATGGGCAGCCTGCCTCTCCTGGGCCCTGGCTGGGAACACCAACACCCTTCTTGTGAGCAAATCTCCCCGTTTTGCCTATAAAAACAATCTATAAAATGGTAAAGATTAGGCCATAAAACTTCCGTTCCAATCCATTCAGCATCAATAGCCTGAAAAAGTGGGAGCAGCAGAGGGGCCAAGATTAACTTTGAAATAAATAAATCTTAGAAGGTGAGAATAAATTTCTTGGTTGAGGGTGGTGGGGAAGGGATGGGGTGTCATCGTCATAGCTCAAATCTCCCAGCATCCTTCGCTCTCGTTCTACGGGGTCCTGGTCACACTCTGGGCCCTGGCATGGAGTTCACTGGTTTGGCTGAAGGATGGGGCTTCAGGCCCCTCCCTCAATTGCTCCAGGCATGAAATTTATGACAAAGCAGAAGAGAGTCAGGACAGAAGGGCAGGGAGGTAGAAGGAGTCAGTTGTCCAATTTTGTAAGAAAATGAATTTGTTCGAGTGAGAAACTCAAATGTCAGGCTTCAGAAGGCAGCTAGGATTGAATGACTACTAGTGTCTCAGGCAGAACTGTCAGCCTGGGAGGTGTCACATGATCGCTGTGGCTTCACATGATCGGGGTCTGGAGGGGCTAGTCATGTAAATTATCTTGGTTGGGGAGGCAGGGGAAGAAGTTTCTAAAGATTCCTTTCAGCACAAATGCTGCCAAAGGGAAATTCTAAAAAGATGCACGTGAAGTCACCAACCTGTGTTCTTGGAGCCAACGAGAGGTCTGTTTCCTAAAACAGCTTTGCTGAGGGAGATTCTGAGACTAGGAGAAAGGCAAGGATCTGGGGCTTGGGGACACCTGGGCACCCTGATTCTGCAACAGCAGCGCCTGCCACTGACCCTGTGGGCTTCTGGCTTGGCCCCACCTAGGTCTTGGGACCTGGGGGTCACCTGCTGGGCAGACCTCAGATGAGCTCCCGTTCACTCCTTGCTCTGGCCTGGAGAAGGCCAGGCCAAGTTGGGTTTCAGGCTTCGGGGGATAGCTGGGCCCTCTGGTGGGCCTGACCCTTTGGTAGCGGGTGGATGCTGGTGGCTCCTCTGTACTTTCCTGAGTGGCGAAGTTAATCTCACTTCCTCTTTCACAAGAAGAGAAAGGGGGAGGAGGGCTTTGGCCCCAATGGGCTTGGGCTGTTAGAAGGTCCTGTAAAGCCCTGGTGTACTCTGGATATTTTCTGGCCATTAACTTTTCCTTTCCCAGCCCCGTGGACATGATTCCATTCCCTTACTTGCAGTCATTCAGCATGTATGACGTCCTGATGTGAACCACGTGTTGAGAGAAGTGGGGAGAACCAGTGATGGTTGAGTGTTGGCTGTGTTCCAGGCTGTGTGCTGAGCGTCTGCCTGTGTGATCTCATTAGTCAGCCAAGCAAAGCATGGGTTGGCTGTTATTTCCCCATTTTGCAGACGAGGATAATGGAGTCCAAAACGGAGGAAGTCACTTGTCTAAGGAGTAAGTGGTAGGGAGCCTGGATTTGGAATCCCGGCCTCCTGGCTGCGTAGCCTGAGGAACAAGTTTCACTGACTTAATCAGAATTCGGTAAGCCAAGCTGGAGGGAGCAGGAGGCGCACCCTCTGGGCTCAGGTGGAGGTGTGTGGAAGGACACCTTCCGGGGCAGAAGTTTTTGACTGAGTCACAGTTGTGTCTCTGAGAGGGTGCTGAGGGTGGAAACCCTGACAGCCCATTGGCCCTCACAAGTGACAGCTCATGGGAGTGACGTGGCTCCCGTCAGAGCCCCCCATCTGGGCTGCCGAGCTCTGGAGCCCCCAGAGCTGGAATGTTCCTCCTTGCATCTTCCTGGTGCCCTTTGCGACAGATGGAGAGGGGGCGTGTGAGAGGAAGGAGTCTAAAACTGTTGTGCGGATCCCACACGCTCTCGCTCGCGGCTTCCAATGGCTCCGTGCGACAGGTTATTTTCTTATTTGTCGTCTTGGACTGCAGGCAGGTCCCCCCCTCTCGTTTGAAATGTGCTCAGATTTCTGGCCTGTCAACACAGCTCAGATCATGTCACCTCCCTGCTCAAAACTGTTGAGTGGGTCCAAGTGTTCTTTTAAAAAAACGCCAAACTGCAGCAGGGCCTGGGCTTCCTCCCTGACAGGCCTTATTTCTCAGCCACGTGTTCTCTGAAGAGCTGACCTGTTGAGACGCTGCAAGATCACCAGGCTTGCTCCTTACAGGCCGAAGCTTTCCCGGCTGCTCGAGCCCATTAGCACCTAAAAGACCCTGAGAAGTCTCGCAGTTTAGAATCCCAAGTTGGAACCTATTTACTCCAGGTTCCCCAAACGTATGAACGAGAGGCGTTTCGTTTATATAATACCCATTAACACGCGGCCTAACCCAGTTTGGGAAATGCGTTTGTACAAACCCATGCCCTCAGCTAAACTCTCTCATCTCTGTACCTTTGCCTATGCTGTTCCTGCCATCAGAGAGGCCCTTCCCTGTATCTCCTTATCTTCGTATGTCCAAATGCTACTCGTCCTTCATGGTCCAGTTTGTGCTGCCTCATATTCCAAGGGGTCTCTTCCTCCTCTGAACCCTGCCCTCAGGATTTTATCTGCCCTGCTGAGGCTGCTTACTGCTTTCTCCTTGTTGTATCACCGTATGCACACACCTGTAACGCTCACACCTGGTTGGCATGGTGATTCTGCAACATTGGGATCGTGTAGCCTCTGCATGTGGAGACACAGACAGCCAAGTGCTGAGTCGCAGGCGTGGAGCCAGGCCCCAGGGTGCGAATCCCAGCTGCACTACAGACTTGGACAGTTTACTGAGCCTGTGCCTTGGTTTCCCTGTCTGTAAGAGAGAGATGACATCAACAGCTCTGTTTGGAGGATGAAGTCAGTCAGTGCGTGTGTAATGTGTGAAGCCAGCCTGGCTGTGGTGGATGCTTAGTACCTGTCAGCTGCTGTTGTCAGCATCCTTGCTTTGTCTGCTTGGATCTCCTCACCCATGAAAGGGGACTGACTTCTGGAAAGCATCTAGCACAGCTCCCTGCACAGCACATAGTGGGTCCTCACAAAGCAACGAAAGCTCTTAAGGGAGTGAAAGTCATCCTGCCTGATGTTTCTTCTGTGGCTGTTATGTGGGATGTACAGGCTGAGTGGAAACCGAGCGAGTGTGATTGAATTGTCAGTTACCGAGACTGAGCGCCCGGGCACAGCCTGCCTCTAGGTGTCTCTGTCCGGATGCACAGGTCTGGAATTGTGATTCCCAGCCCCGGAGAGCCCGAGGGGGCCTGAGAGCCATCGGTCTACTGCCTCATTGTGCCGCGGAGAAAGCTGCAGCCCCAAGAAGGGAAGGGACTGGCAGGCTCACACACAGACCCGTGGCCAGGCCTGGGTGGGACGCCAAGCCCTCTGTCGTCCAGGCCAAGGCTTTTAAAAAGTGGGCTGTACAGTAAGTTTCCATCATTAAAGCTAAAAATCTGAC